GGGATGTCCCAAGAACACATGCTGGGGTCAGAGCAGGCATGCGGACCTGTACCAGACCAGCAACAAACTATGGACTAGTGATGAAGATCTGCTTCACTCTGTGCATTCCAAGCCAGCATCCACAGTGAACAGATTTTATCTGTGTCCTCAGAAAGTTGTGATTCTGGTGTCTGGTGGGTTTTTTGTGACACAGAAAGGGAAAAAGTCACTCCAAGCATTTCACTCGAGTCCAATTAATAGCAAAGAGTAGGTTAAAATCCTTCAAACTGGTGGGACACGAGGTAAAAACATTGTGCATAAGAATCTGAACTTCCCAGACAGAGTCTGGGTCCCCAAAACTGCCCACCCGGCAGCCTTACTCCCACCCAGTAGTACAGAGTTAGGGACTGAGAGAATTTGGGACCTACAGGATGAGGCAGCAGTTACATCATGGTTATGAAGACATGACAGCACCTAGAATGTGATGTCAGTGGTCAAAGAAGGAGTCTGACATCGTCTGCTAAAAGAACAACCAAGGGTCTCTCGCACAGTGAATGAATCAAGAATCAGAATGTTGGAAAAATGAATCTATTGTTTTGTGACTTGAAGCATGTGAGGAGCTGAAAGAAATCGGAATTCCTGTTCATTTCCTGTAATAGCCAAACATAAATTGATTGGAGTTTGGTGATGTGCAGTCTGGGAAAAATCATTATGCCTCACGCAAGAGGGCATGTGGGTAGCAGGTGCATGGCTCAAATAGTGAACAAATGGCAGGAAAATATGCCCTCCCTAAATTTCATTAAATGGATTGGGAACATATAGCAGGAAATCAAACACACTCAGCCCCTCACGTCCAGACCAGCAAAAACAGCTCCTTGGAAACCCAGGTAGAAACCCCAGCACATTCAGACTTAAGGCTAAAAAAAGTAGAGAAAAGAAATATCCAACAGTTGCCTAGAGATCTGTGAAACCTGATTTAAACAACCTCAAGCTGACACAGGTCAGCGTTTCATGATCAAGCTTTACTTTGGAGCTAGTCACAAACAAGGCAAAGGTATGGATGGGATCTACAGGGTCAGACCCCAGTGAGTTGAAAAAAAACCCCAAAATAACCATTGGCAAAGTCCATAGGTTGTGATCCCAAATACCAGCAAAATGGAAATACTGGACGAGACACCAATACAGTGAGGGAGAAAGAAGAAGAAATTGCCTGTGTATACGCATGAGAACAATTTCTGGTTTCGGTGTGAGTCTTCTCAAACCACCACAGCAAAATACTGCATAGGTCGTGTTTGTAAAGTTTTGATGAAGATTAATTTTGTGACAGCAAAAGCGTACACATACAATACTTGTTTGGAGGCCTCTGAAGCTGGTACCTCAAACCAATGGGCATCATAATCTGCTTTGTTGTGTCTGATCTGCAAGTTCCCCATTCCCCAACAATTTTTCTTTGTCCCTACCCTCATTAGCCCTTGTATCGACGCTTCAAAAATCTTTTTGACGAGCATAATTCATGCCATTTTTGGTCCAAAGGCATGGCAAAGCCACCTGGAAGTGAGCCAAATCAGAAGACTGTGCCTAGGTCTGACCCAAGGCTGCTGCTACTACCAGGAATACGAGCTGTAAGTCAGTGAGAGCAGGGTGAGCAGGAGACACTGGCAGCTGGAAGGAGCCAGAGAAAAGGAAGTGGGATAGACAGAAAAAGAAACACTCACTGGCTGGAAAGAGCTTGGGAAGGCGGAGGGGGGGAGGAGTACTCAGGTGCCAAAATATGCAATCGCAACCCCATGCATGAAAATTTACTTTTTTAGCAAGAACACAGTGAGAATACACAGATGTTTGCATGCATACAAATACAATGAATTCCAAATAAATTCCAAAGAAATTCAACTAAGACTTTTTTTAACTTTAAATTTCAACAAATCCTTATCTTCCTCTGTCCACAGACCAAAATTATCTTTTGAAGATTATAAAATCAGTCACGTATACCTTTCTTAGCCAAGAAGGCATGACCTTCTTCTCAAGGCAACTCTCTTCATTAGTCTGCTCTTTTCATTAATGGTGTCCTGATGAAGCAATGAAATAAATGAGGCAGGTAGAAAGGAACGGACACTTGTGGGGAAAGTCTTGGTTTTAGGAAGGTCAGTGCCAGAGCAGGTGGTTTTGCTTCATCACCTTGGCATACATGCCCAGGCTGCCTCAAATTATACTAATGAAGCTTTTCAATCTGTGTCTGCTCTGATAAAAAGAGCAAAATCAACCTAATAGCTCTACATGGAGCTTTCTGCTTCCTTTTAAATGCATGTAAGAGCAAAAAAAGGACAAGGGTCAGGGCAAGACTGGCAGAACAGGAACACCTAGTTGCTTTCTACTTTTTAAAGAGAATAGCCAGAGTGTGGTTCCTAATTATAACCCTGCATAGGCTGTAGCCTCATGAGGACTATTTGATCACATCCCTCCCACATAGCAAGACCGTTTGCATCCAGAGGACACTGAGGCAAGACCTCCCCCCACACCATTTAGGCCCTGAAATTGTCACATGAGGGAAATCTGAAGGCTCATACTGCACGGTGAAATTCAGGTGCTCAGGGGTACTACTGAGCTGAGCCCCAGAAGCCATCTTTTGTCACTCAGATGACATTTAGCACTCGTGGTTCCCCTCCTTTGTATAAGTCTATACGCAAGCAGCGCGGTTGGCAAGGGCAGCTACTGAGTGCTAAAGCCTAACTTAACTTTCAAATCAGTCGAAGCCCCATCCCCTTCAAATTCTTCAGTCTTTTCTGGTGTTGAAATGACAACTGTTTGGTTTAATACATAAATGGGAAGGCCTTGTTTCCAGCTTAATTTCCAACACCTGATGATCCAACCTGGAAGTGATGGATGTGTTTGAAGCAAGATCCAAATGCCATAAAATTCATGGCAATTGTCTTAAAAGGGTCGATTTGTGCCTCAGTTTTCTTGAGTGAATTGTATCATACTGGCCTGCATGTTCTGAACCAAGAACAAAATGGTCAAAGCTGCATAAGAAATACAGGGACACAGGAAAATAAAGAAATCACAAAGTTGATTTTTTTTTCTTAGAAATATATTTTGTAAGAAAACAACATATAAAAGAAATGTTTATTATACAGTATAAAATAATTGCTTGAATTCAACTCAGTTCCTTACAAAAAAAAACCAACAAACCAGCAAAGACTGAGGATCTATATGAAGCCTCAATTCCTACAGGTGACTCTTTTGGCTTCTATGATACTCACCGCATGAAAGGGCAGGTTTTTCCCCACCTCATCCTCAGAGCAGGCGGACAAATGCTCCTACAACCTCCCTCATCCCTTCCTCAACAAGTTGCCATTCCCTGCCTGGAGATGTGCTCTAAACCTCGCCTGTAGCATTCCCAGCTTTCTCCTATGTCCCCTGCACCCACCCTCCAACCCCATCCACTCACCTCTCCAGGCCAAGCGACTGTACAAGCAGCATCACACGCTGCAGCGAGCTACGAGCCTCCTCGTAGTAATTTATTTTGGCTAATGCAAGCAGTGGCCAGCCACTGACAAATAATGTGTAAAGGCTGAGTTGCTCTCAGCTGTCTGTCTTCAGCACGCAGGGATTTAAAAGCCGGAAGGGGAGACAAGGGCAGGCGATGCAATCACATGAGCTTCACTTTTTTTTTCTCCTCAAAAACTAAGCGATAAAAGTCATTACTCAATTGCAGAATTTGCAACTTGCGGATTTTGTTCTAAGAAAATATGCCTGCTCAGTAACTACAAATACCCCAAATACATTTCTGTGGCTTATTATGTATTTTTTTAATTATTTTTTTTAGGCAATGACTGCTTTGTAATGTCAGTTCACTCCCAATTTGAAAGGCACCCAGTGACCAGCATCCTGGTGTAATTATTCATGACATTGGTGTGACTCCCTGCCTCCCAACAATACTGATAAGTTTAACAGAAGTCTATTAAGTTAAAAAGATCAAAGATATATATTACATTTGCTAATTGCAAACAACCTCTTTTAGCTGCAATTTTTCCCATTGGGATTAAAAAGTGCACCAGTTTAACATGTCTGTACATTAAAAACAGCTTAAAACATTAAATATACAAACAGCAAGAGATTTTAAATATTCTGTATCAAATACTATAGGACAATATAATTTACATTATTTTTTTTTTTTACACAAAACATTACACCTGAAATATAACTTTAGATATTACAGAATATAAAAATACATACTTTTTTTGTCTAAAAAATGTCTTTGCAGGTTTTGGCACAATGTAATAAAGGCACACCATACTTTGGCAATCTATATTTGCAATTAACTGTGCAACAATAATAAAAAATTACCTGTAATTAACCTTTTGTAACTGCAAGGCCAGATGACCTCCCTCCTTCCTGGAATAGCCCTTTTAACTAGGTAAAAACTTAAGTCAAACTGTTTTGGGTGTTCTGCAACTCATTTTTGCCACGGCCTGAGCTCTCCAATCCAAATCCAGCAATGCAAGAACAGGATTACCTTCGCATGTGAAAAGCCACATCAAACGTGGTGGGATTAGTCACACTTTCAAAATCTTTGCTGTCTCAGGGTCAGAATGCTCAACCTCAAGCAAAACTGAGCCCTAAACACAAGTCAGGAGGCAAGTTCTGTCCGGCTTTATGTTCGCACCGAAAACTAGTTAAGAGTAGCACAGGTTAAAAAGTCAGGGCAGAACTTGGCAACAGAAGTTCAATGTTATTAATTGGATCCAATTTCAACTACAAAAAAATCGTAATGTGCCTGCTGAAGCCAGTGGAGACACATGAAGCAAAACTGCTGTAAGACTGAATTAGGAGAACTACTTAATTTTGTCCTTCCGTGCATTTGTGGGACTGCTGCTGGAGGCAGCACAGGACGAAAACGTGTCTTTAGAGATATATGGCTTACACAGATGCAATTGGGTTGCAAAAGATTTTTCAGTTCTGTTTTCAAGTCGTTTCTGGATCACTAAAAATCCAAAATAAATTTCAGCACACTAAAGAAAGATTCAGTCTAAATCCCTAACTTTAAATGCCCCAAAATAAGTCGCCTCTTGTGATGAATCCAGTAGCAACGGGTTCGATACTTGGACACTTATCATTTCACCAGATTTTAATTTAAAAAACCCACCTACATTTACAGAGTAAAAATGGAATTCTGAATTCCCTGACCAGTATTTCGTGCTTCCTCCCTTCATCAACACATCAGAGCGCCTTATTTTAGGGTTTGTCTTAATCATATACACCATCAGCTGAAGCCCTCTTTTAGTCAGGTTTCCTGAGGTTTCGTGATGTCTAAAACAAATGTTGGCATAAAGGTAGTAAAAACCATCTTGATTAACAATTAGTTTTCCATCACTGAATGTCATATCTGATAGGTTTGCCTGGCCTTTGTCATGATGCCAGGACGTGAGGTTCACTTTGCGAGTTCCTGAAGAAAGGAGAAAAAAAAAATAATTATTTATAAACATTTATCAAACCCCAATCAATAGCTACTAGAGTTCTATAGGCTAAAGAGAATATTTGTCAATTATGAAAAAAATCATAAGAAATTTCCTATTTTCATCATGTACAACCATATTTGATCTGTTATTTGTAGCTGTCTGCCTTCCCATCAGAACATCTGCAGAACCATGGTACAACACACTTGCTTGGCCAATAGTCTGATTATGCTAAGCGATCATTTAACAAGCTCTGTATATGAACTGCATTCCACCTCAAACTTTATTCGAGTAACAAATACTTGAGAGGATGAAGGAAACAGCAAATCTTGTTATCAGTCACTAAGCCTTAAGTGTTTTTCAAGGAATAACTGAACAAAATCTGAAAACTTGTTAAATTGGTTATTCCCCAAAGAGAAAGCTTACGAAACCTTCCAATAGTTTATGTTGTTGTGACTGTAGTGGTACAAAGGTAAACATATTTTCATGGGAGAAGACCGCCCCCAAAAAAGGGGGGTGAAAAAAGCTCAAAACTGTACAGTCCCGCATCTTTTGTACTACACACTAAGTTGCCTAGACTTTGGATAGTACTTCAAGTATCTATGACATAAACAAACCTTTTTATGCGAAAGCAATGTTTAAATTTAACCCAGTGCTTGTATATACCAGAATAAGGCTCCACAATCTGGGTAATTCATATCCTAGGCATCTACAAGGGTGGCCCACAGCACAATCCTAATTCTTTGAAAACTGTACAAATATTTGTAGCTGGGCAGTTACAACTATTCTGGAGGTAAACTCAGATTCTTTGTCTAATATCTAGTGGAAGGTCTTAGAAGAAGAGCTTTAGGAAGACAGATGTGACTTCGGACGCACTGCTCTTTTCTTTCTTTATTTTAAAGTATCTTAAGCTGCAAACTAGAAAAGATGAGCTGATACTCCATGCTTGAAGAAAAATTAACCCTGTTCAGGTTGCATTAAACTGGAGATCCACGAATTAGGAGAGAAAATTATAATATTCTCTTTCTCCACAGAACATCATACATGTGGGCATGAAAAGACATGTATGACGGTTACCAAATCTGACTACCAAAAAGTCAGATTAATAGAACTAACACACGTAAAAAACGTTATTGAATTCTTTCCAACAGGTATGCGCAAACCTTTTCAGCACTGCCCACGTGATGGTGGCCTGATAAACAGGAAGCTGTCCCTTATCTGTTAAGGTGACCAGCTGCTTTGTGAAGAGGACAAAAAGGAGCTGAGAGATGTTGCGATAAGTTTGTCAGCTCAGCACTGTCACTAAAAGTTAACTTCACGTACACAGGTACAACTGTCCCCCAGGAACTCTGACCCAAAGGGCACCTCCTGGGTACTATCATCAAGTAGACACATTGTATTGTTTCTCAAAGGATTCAAGCTGGTCTGGTCTCAGATGCCTTTTCATTTAGACCCTGGTGTTGAGGCTGTGCTAAGAGATGGCTTAACAGGAGGTCTAAGAGAAAGCATTTGAGTCTTCCTTCTAAACCTGGTCACATTCAACACTTCAGATTGTTTCTGGTGGCACAGTGTTAAGAAGCAGCCTGCAACACTAGCCTAGACAGCACTGCTACAACAGCACATCTGTTACGTAGAGATTTATCATGGTATTTTCTGCTGAGGAGCGTGCCCTGTAGCACACACCCGCTGTCCTTTCCACCTTCCCAGCATCACCACCATCTCATTATAGCACCCATCTCATCTCACCCCCTCCGTCTTCAAAAACAGAGAGGCAGGCAAGGCTGGAAAGAGAAGAGCCAGGCAAGGCCCACAGGGATGCCCAGGCAGAGAAAACAGCACTGTGCTGAGAAGGTCACACAGGTCCTGACCCTTCCCAAAACGCACAAGTCACTAACACTCTACCCTTTACTCTGCATAATACACAGGGCATAGCACAGCAGATTAGAGTTGGCCAACTTGTCCTCCTGCCCATTAGCACACAAGACTAACTCCATTTGCTCCCTCTCACAGCACCAGGTACTCCACACCAGCACCAGAGAACCTTACACCTCAGGCTCCCAGCGCATCTAAAAGAGAGCTTGGGATATTCAGCACCAGACAGGGACCTACTGGGGAGAGTCCGACAGAGAGCTACGAGGTTGATTAAGGGACTTGAACATCTCTTCTATGAAGATAGACTGAGAGAACTGAGGCTGTTTAGTCTTAAGAAGAGAAGGCTGCGGTGGGATCTTATCTTATCTTAATCTTATTAATGTGTATAAATATCTCAGGGGTAGGTGTCAAGAGGAAGGGGCCAGTCACTGGTGGTGCCCAGTAACAGGACAAGGAACAATGGGTATAAACTAGAAAATAGGAAAATCCATCTCAACATGAGGAAAAACTTCTTCACTGTGAGGGTGACAGAGCACTGGCACAGGCTGCCCAGAGAGGTTGTGGAGTCTCCTTCCCTGGAGACTTTCAAAACCCACCTGGATGAGTTCCTGTGTGGCTGCCCTAGGGGATCCTGCTCTGGCAGGGGGGCTGGACTAGATGATCTCTAGAGGTCCCTTCCAATCCCTGACATTCTGTGAGTCTATGATTCTCCCAACATCAAACCAAAACAACCTATTCCCACCAGACTTTCCACAGCACATGGCAGGGCCCAGTGCCCTCTTCTTCCAGGTCCCAGAACCACCAGTGCTCCCAAGCATGTTGGGGAAAAGACCCAGGTATATTTGTTTAATTAAAAAGATGCCCCTTGGATTCATTTGTGCAGGAAGAAGTGAGGGGAAGTAGGGACAAGGGAATTTGAGAGCTGTGAGACTTCCCTAACTGCCAAGGGCAAGCAACTTCTGCATATGAGAGGAATACTTTAATAGTAGTTCTAAACAAAAAGCTTCTGGCGTTCTTCCACAAAGACTTGAGCAAAGCACAGGCTGTCAAAGGCAGATCATAAATAGTTGCTCCCCTATGGCTCCTGTGCAGTCAGGTAGAAATTATACAGGCAAAAATCCTACAGAGAAGCTGTCGTCGTTGCAGTGCTTCAAAAAAACCCTCTGAAAACCATCAATTAATTGGAAGTGCCACCAAGATCTTAAGTCTCTCAGCCTGGAATTATTCACCTGTGAGAGATGCTGAGAAAGGAGTGCCAGAGTACACCTCCGAAGCACTGGGGATAGATGAACAAGTTGTAGAACTTTTTTGCCCACAGTGTTAAGTCTGCCTGAAATAGTGCCCCAATGAGGTTTGGCTGCCTTCAAGATGAGGAGGATAGGCAAGAAATCACTGCTTGGATCAGAGGAGAGGCACATCAGATAGATGGAATAGGAATGTATACATAACGACGGAAAAGAAAGGCATGCTGTGACAAACTGGTGGCACAGCAGGTAGCTGCTAGGCAGATTTTATTTATCTGGCAAGCAACCTTTTTAGTTGTCAGTCTTAATCTAATAGGAATTTTGAAGGAATTCTTAGTGGGAACGCACCATTCTCTGCTCAAGAAGGGTGAAGAGAGAAAACAGGTGCCACAGATGCTTGTAATTGAGATGCTGAGGGGGCTCTGGGTGAAGTTTATTCACACTTGTTCTGGTGTTGAGGGGAATATGCATCATTCACCCACAGTCAGGTAGAGAGATAGACCAAGAGATGATGGAAAACGACCCTATTCCTTTTGAGCAGAGGATTAGCCTGGGTAACTTCTGGAAGTCCCTTCCAACCTCAATTATAATGTTACAATGGTGTTAAGTGAGGCAGATGGGCATTTTGCCACAATTCAGAGCTTCAGTCACCCTTAACTCTGTGACAGTTAAAATGATGGAACAGATTCTCCTGGTAGCTGTACTAA